TTTAAATTTGCCTTCCTTTTACGGCTCACGCCTAGCAACCGCGCGCTCACTTTTTCAAACCCAACTGGGGTTTCTGATTGGGTAGGAGGCGGGGCCGAGAGCGTGGCTGGCCGGGGATTGGGTCCCCTGGGGAGGGAGGGGAGGAGGCTGGCTCGGAGCGTGGTCATTGGGCGAGCCGCGATGCAGATTCGAATGTCGCCCGGGGACTTGCGTTGCGGCGCAGGCGCAAAAGGCGCCCCTAGAAAAATCGCTTTTTTTCCCCCCAGTCTCACTGTAACGCATATCAGAGAAGCAACAAAATAAAAAAAACACACATAAAAATCAAAAGACAGGGAAAAAAATGTAGCATTTTAAACGCTACTTCATTTTGAATGCATAGCCTCAGGGGCCAAGGAGCCTTTTTGGTTTAATGTCTTTTTTGTGTGTGTGAGTCCAGATGTTTTCAGATGTGTCCAGGCAGGACACTGAGAAAACCAGTTAATGTTTTTTTTGAAGTAGCTTTCAGATGTGTTGTCTGTTGTAACCATGTGAGCAAGCAGCTGGAAAAGAACATGACATTTTGGGATGAGGTGACCAGGTCCACAGTGAGCCACCCAAATCCACAATGACCAGGCATTTACGTAGCAGGTCTAAACGGATCTCTTCGTTATTCCTGTGTAGTGTCAATAGCTTGGTGTCATGAATGCCATGAATCTACTAGGGATTACCAGGTCTCCGAATGCTGGCTGAAGTCTCCTGGAATGGCCGTTTTCCCTCTCCTTAAAATCTCAGAGCAAGCAGCACTAGAGCAAGTCTAATTTTTTCTGTGGACACCGACCTCCACCTTTTCTGAGCTGGTACCAGGGTTTACTGGGTCAGTGTGTTTGTATCAGTGTTATTGTTGCCCAGTGTTAACCACCAAACCTCCAGGAGTTAAGTAAGGGGCGAGAGCCGGTGGGTGCATGCCCTTGGCGCCAGCATGCCATCTGGAGCAGGAGCGAAGCCTCAGCATCTTGACTCCTGAGTCTCATTGACACACAAAGCTTAGTAGCAATAATGAAGGGCCAGGAAGGAGAGGGATCTCCCAGTGAGCTCCTCCCAACAAGCCCCACCAGCAATATAGGATCCCAAGAAATTCTCCACTTGTCATGTGTGCTATAGATAATGTACTGAGGAAGTACTATTAACTGTTGCGGCTACTGGAGACGCTTTTGCAAGGTGTCTGGTTGCCAAAAAAAAAGTGTATCTGGCTCAGACCTTTACCTTATTAACCATGTTTTGCCCCAATTCTGGGCCCATTTATTGGGATTTCCCTTGCGACACTTTCAGTCCCCTCCATCCCTCCCCTCTGTGTGTGTGTGTGTGTGTGTGTGCGCGCGAGTGAGTGAGTGAGAGATGGGTAGATTAGCTGTCCTAACCTTTTGAGGGTGTGTGAATGTGTCAAGGAAGGTAAGAACAGTATAATCAGGAGGCTGGATTCAATCTGGGTTCCTAGAAGGGTCAACCGAAGGCCAGAATGGTCCAAACTTTGACATCAGACGGAGAAGATGCATCCATCGTCTTAAGGATCAACAGGTGATTCTGCAGAACAAACATGCAGCTGTCCACGGTGCCCACATTTCAGCCGTCCTCCCTCAGCTGCCTCAATATACTGAGAGAGCTGCTGACTTCACAACTCTACGTCCTTGTAGTCCTTACTGCCTTTAAGTTTTATGTTGTAGAGGGACCCTGCCAATTTATCACGCTCTTGTATGAGAAGCCATAGCTGTGAAATATTCTCTTCTACTGGTTTCTGAAAGATACAGGTCACTGCTGTCTTGTTGCAAAATAAGGATTGCGTGTTGAATAACACTGGCAAGGCTGTCCAAGCAGGAGGCACAAAAGAACAAACTGTTTTGGGTGTGACTCAAGACATCGCACACAAGGCTGTGAGAGATGAGAGCGGCCCAAGCTGTGCACTGTGCTATAGTGCTCCTAATGCAGCTCCTGACTGATGTTGCTTCGCCTTAGGTCTGTAGGCTGAAGGACAGGTTCAACCACTACATCATGAGATACGGGTCCCTAGTCTTGAAATTTTCCCAGCCCCTACTGGAAATGAAGCCGGGTGGCTTAACTTTCCCCTCACCCTACACTTCCCTCGGTAGATTCTCCTCCAAGGTAACTCCTCTCTGGACAAATTTATTGTTGCCCATCTAATCTTGGCCATGTTTGGCACAGATGCTTATACTACTTGCAATGAACTTATTTAAAAGATAGTAGAAAGGGGAATCCTAATACAAGTGGAAGGACCAATAGGTTGAATTTGAGCAATACCTGATATCCCTTTTTTTGTATTTTCCTTGAATTAAATAAATAAATAAATAAGATATCATCACGGCGGGGAGGGGGGCGATGATAACTTCCTCAATGGCTCAAGGGGGCGTTCCTTTCAAAAAGGTTAAGAACCACTGTTGTAGAGGGACCCTGCCAATGTATCACGCTCCTGTATGAGAAGCCATAGCTGTGAAATATTCTCTTCTACTGGTTTCTGAAAGATACAGGTCACTGCTGTCTTGTTGCAAAATAAGGATTGCGTGTCGAATAACACTGGCAAGGCCGTCCAAGCAGGAGGCACAAAAGAACAAACCGTTTTGGGTGTGACTCAAGGCATCGCACACAAGGCTGTGAGAGATGAGAGTGGCCCAATTTGTGGAAGGCTTGCACTGAGCTATAGCTCTTCTAATGCAGCTCCTGACTGATGTTGCTTCGCCTTAGGTCTGTAGGCTGAAGGACAGGTTCAACCACTACATCATGAGATACGGGTCCCTAGTCTTGAAATTTTCCCAGCCCCTACTGGAAATGAAGCCGGGTGGCTTAACTTTCCCCTCACCCTACACTTCCCTCGGTAGATTCTCCTCCAAGGTAACTCCTCTCTGGACAAATTTATTGTTGGTTGCGCAAGCAAGCTCTCGGAGGCAAAATGGCCTTGAGGGGAAGAGATTCCGCACTCTCCTCCCGACCCAGATTTTGAGAAAGTTGCCTTTTTGGACTACAAATCCCAGTATTCAGTACGGCCGCCAAATGGTGGAATCTGTAATCCATAAAGAGAGCGGAATCTACTCCCACCCCACTGCGTCTCTCCTCGGAAGGCGCTCCCCATGAATGCACATTATTTAATCATCATAAGCATCATGCCTCCTAAGTAGAGAGGAAGCCTTTCTCTTGTAAGGTTTATCAACCACCTACTTATAATACCAATGGAAAAAAAAACACAGAGGAAGACGTCTGATTGGTGATTTTTATTAATTTTCTGTTAAGATGGTATTGTTATTTGACGAGTTCAGTTGTCAAATATGTTGTTACTCTAAAATCCATATAAGATTAATATGTATAACCGATGTTGGATGCCCAGAAGAAGGCGAAAAACCTCCAGGATCTCTGGCCAATCTGACCTGGAGGAAAATTCCTTCCCGACCCCGGAAGCGGCGATCAGTATTACCCTGGGCATGGCAACAAGGGCCAGAACCTTCCAATCCATTGGCAATGACCTTGGCTAAACCACTCTTTACTGCTACTACCTCCCCCCACACCCAATGCACCTGCATTCTTAGTTCTATGGCTATCCTTTAATACACTCTGTGCTATGGATTTGGGGCAGCATGATTTGCATTTTTTATGTTAATTACACAATGCAAAGGGAAATGAGAATCAGCCTGGAGTCTCTCCCCCCTCCCCATCTACTTTTCCCCTCCACTGCTGGGGCTTCTTATCAATTCACAATGATTCAGCCATGAGATTTCTTGAACCAATGCAGAAAAGTCATTGTGCCGGCTCACAGTCAAGAAAAGCAAGCAAAGACCACCAACTCCTTCCTTTCTTTTCCGTTTCTCTCCCTCCCTCCCTCCCTTCCTAGCATAAAATAAGGCCTTTCTTGGAAAGTCTTCACATACTTTTTTTTCTGAAGGCAAGCAAAGCCTCTCTCAGGAAGATGCTTTTTTCCTGCATTGCAGCACCAGGAAATATTATCAAAGTGCCAGTACAGATGCACTAAGGGATGTAAACACACACACACAGCTAACAAGAGGAGGAAATGAGAGGAGGAAACCCTTGTTACAGCTTGATAGGCAGTTCCTTTTAACTGTGCCTCCTATCGAGTTTCAAACAAGGACTAAACAAAGCTTTTCTTCTGTCTCCCTGTGTAGTTACTTAAATTGAACAGACTTGGATCCCCTGGTGTGACTTCACAGCAAGTGGATGTGAGTAAATTCACATTTCCCTTGCTGTGTAGCAGCACTCTGAATTGTTATGGTAGCTATCATGGTTCCATCATAAACCTGCTTTCCAGATTGTTACCAAAATACACTCCTTGCAACAGAAAGAGCTCATACATGGAGGGTCCTTTGTACCGTTGTCATTGATCTCCTTGTGAGATGTTTTGCTGTCTTGTTTGTCCGGGAGGGTGCTTCCGTTCTCCTCCAGATTAGAAGATGGCTGTGAAATAAAGCTTTTGTGTAAGAACATCGTGACTCAGGAATCATTACTTACTCATGAGGTTTCCCAGTCTCTTCTACGCCCACTCTCATCACTGATGGCCAGAACCTGCTCAATGAATTGGAACAGAGAAGACAGGTTTGCAATCCAAACAGGCCAACGCAGAAGCTGAAATACTTACCTCCTCATGACTGTCTTTGGATATGGTGGAATTCATAATAGTCCTATCAACCCAATCCTATCTGAAGTCATAGTAATAGCTGTTTTTTCTTTGCTACTCATCTGATGTGTTCAAGCCCTATTGTTGTCTGGTACTATGCCTTTCACAAGCAAACCTGAAATGCAAACAAAATGCAAAATCATTCACTGTCAAATGACGGAGAATCTTTTAAGAAATGGATATGTCATCTAAATGATCACCTTTAGTCTTCTTTCTTAGCCGTGCTGCCGTTAACTCTTCTCTCTTCCATCTCCTCTCACAAACTCTGCAAGGAAACTAGAAACTCTCACAAGAGGCAACAACATGTTGGCGAGTGCAGATTGTCCTCCTGACGTCCCAGATGCTGTCCTTCTCCACTTGCCTGTCATGCTCTCACCGTCCTGTTGCTCTGCTTCCTCTTCTTCCCCCACTTCTGCTTGCTACTCGCCACTCGCCGCTCTGTGGTCCCACCGCTGCTCCATCCAGAAACACAGATAAATACGGACAGAGGCCCCGTGCATCGCATTCCCTCCTTTTTCTTATGCGCTGGCAGACCGGAGGGAAAACTCTGCCCCTCAGGTCCCCTAGCCAGCAGTCTTCCTTGCCCCGGATGGTGCTAGCAAATCATAGTCTGCCAGTTCAACCTGACCCGGCTTCACGCTCCCAGGGTTTGAGATAGCACTGCCCCATAGATCTGTCCTGCTGGGATTCCACAACCACACTGACATAAAACCAGGGGTCAACGTCCAAGGTCTCCCAGGCAGCCTCTCACCACAGACAAAGGCACACAGAACCCATCTGCCACGCAGGGCATCGAGTCCAAAGACACTCACTACACAGCTAGTTGTGACCAGACAGAGGCGAGAGCACCGGGCTGGGAGCCAGGTTGCTGGACTGGGAGCAGGGAGCTGGAACAAGGGGTCAAGATACAGGAGACCAGCAGGAGGAAGCAAGGACCAAGGCAAGGAGAGGAACAGGTACAGGAACACTGGAATCCAGACACAGAGATGCCAGAGGCAGGCAAAGAGATCAAGGCAGGAACACTGGAATGCAGGGACAGCAGCACTCAGGAGCAGCAAAGCACAGCCCAAAAACCTTTGTTGCCAAGGCAAGTTCGGGGATGGAAAAACCACTCCTTAAATAGGCCTTCCCTCCAGGTTGCCAGGTGAGCCTCATGAGTGGCCCAACAGCTGCTACAGAGGCCAGGGCCTGATCCTGCAAACACCAGGCCACTCCTGGGTCAGGCTGGCCCCTGATCCTGCAGCTGCTACGGCGGTGTGGGCCAGATCCGGACACCAGGCTGCTGCCCCAGCCAGAAAGCAGGCCCCAGGTGCGTTCCTGTTGGCCTACCAGGCACAGTCCTAGGAATAAACACACACCCCCAACACACACATCATCTCGCCTAGCATTGGGACCAGATCCAGTTCAACAAGAATGCCACCCCGAGGTGAGACATCCACTTCTCAGATCCCTCTGGAAGACAACCTGGAATGGCAGACCTTTGGAGACCACTCTTGTGGCTCCATCTCCCAAAGGGCAGGATCCAGACACCCCCAGCTAAGGCAGTTCATGGCCGCAGCCCTGCCTCCCCCTTAAAGGGATTCCATACCAACCAAGACACGCAGGTTCCCGCCGGCTGTCCTCCAAGCTTCGGGATCCACCCCAATGCTCCAAACTCCCAAACGATCTCTACAAGGCTCAGCTCCCACCGGAGAGCAACAACGCCAACTCACCCATCATGGCAGCCCTACTGTCTCCCAGGATGGCCGAGCCCGCCCACCCCTGCACAGGATTTCAGCCTTGTGGCCACAGAGGCAACACACCATAGTCCAAGATGGGGCCCTCGCAAGAGGCAACAAAATGGCGGCAAGCGGACGGTGACCTCCTGACTTCCCGAATGCTCTTCTTCTCAGCTTCCCCGTTGCTGCTCTCGCTGCCCGCCGTCCTGTTGCTCCGCTTCACCGTGGCATTGCCTCCGTGCTTCGCCTCAGTGCCTCTTCCGCGTCCACTTCTTCTTGCAGCTCGTCCCTTGCTGCTCCGTGGTCCTGCCACCCCTCCATCCAGCATCGTGGACAGAAACAAACTGAGGTCTTGCCTTGCGTCTCCTCCCCCCCTTTTTTAATGCTGTCCTGGCAGACTAGCGGGAAAGCTCCGCTCCTCAAATCCACCAGCCTGGATGCTCCTGAGGGAAGACATCATCTTTTCAAGTTGCTCTGGAAGAGCACCTGGAATTGCAGACCTCTGAAGGCCACGCAGGCATGTACCACTCTGTGGCTCCCTGCCACTCAAGGGCAAGCGCAGGACTGAGCGAGAGTAGTTCATGGCCCCTTTATTGGAATCCCTGGCTCCCTTTAAGGGATTCCACCACTACCAAGGACATGCAGGTCCCTACCAACTATCATCCAACCACCTGGATCCATACCATTGATCCAAACTGCCACTAGAGCTAGGCAAGGCTCATTTGCCAACCGAGAACTGGAGCTGCAACTCATCCATCATGGCAACCCTCAGAATTGCCAAGACCAACCTTTGCACGATTTCAGCCTTTCCTCTTTTGGATATAGAGGTGTATACCCCAGAGTTTTAAGTCTATATGCCACTAATCATCTCTTTTTTTGTTCACAGAATCCTAAAATGGCCCCCTACAGTAGGTAATAAAATGA